CACTCGCCGCTGCGAGTGTGCTGTGACGCTATGATGATAATATATTATATATATATATATAGACACTATCTCCATATCTCTATCTCTATGTAGCGGCTGGTTAGTCAGAGTTCATGCAGGTGCGTGACCGACCGACCAGTGTAGCCAGCTTTACTACTAGCCATGCACATCTGTGTGCGTGCGTGTGCGTGCGTGCGTGCGTGTGTGTGCGTGTGCGTGTGCGTGTGCGCGTGCGTGCGTGCGTGTGTGAGTGTGTGTGTGTGTGGGGAGGGGGATGTGAGGAGAANTGTAGAAGGTAGCTGCATGGGGGGGGGGTCAGTGGAAGTGGCTGTAATTGGAGGAGTCTGTGTTGGTGGCTGTATTCGGGGAGGGGGTCGGTATAGGTGACTTTATATGTGTGTGGGGGAAAGAGGGAGGTTGCGGTGACTGTACATGTGGGCAAGAATCAGTAACAGACTGAGAATATCACGCGAAATGTTGGTGGCGTGATCTGAGAATATTTGTCTTTAATAAGGTAAATAGTATACGGTATAATAAGGTATAATACTATAATAATGAGCTATAAGGTACAATAACGTATCCTAAATTTTAAAAAAGGAAAACGTTTTGCTAAGCCCGCACGTCAAAATGTCTGCTCTGTTCCATAGGTGGCGCCACAACTCGAAGGAAGTGCTCGTCCGCCCGTCTGTGAGAGGTTCGCGCATTCAGCTGCAGCCGGTACGTGACGCGATGCTGCGGTGGCGCCCCCTACCATGCGGCCATGCCCGCTCAGTATGCAGCGGCGCATGTTGTGGCTCTCTAGATGGCGCTGGCTGTCATAGTTCATGCATTGTCGCGAAAAAATTTGCATATATCGCTGCTAAAATTGCCGTAAAACGACTCTCTCTCCTCTCTCTCTCTCTCTCTTCTTTCGCTTGCTACGACTCGCTCTCTTTTTCTCTCTTTATCTCGCTCGCTTGCTCTCTTCCCTCTCGCTCTCTCCCCCTCTCTCTTTCTCTCTCCTTCTTCCCCTCCCTCCCCCTCTCTCTCGGGCCTAAAGAAGAGGGAATTCTCATCAGTCAGGAGAGAGACACCCTACCAGACAGAGCAGCAGGAGCAATGCTGCCCTGATGATCATCACAGATGGCGCCACGTGTCCCACCATCAGCGCTGGCAGGATTCGCTGGCGTTGAAGCAGACGGCCCCAGGGCGCAGCGCCCACCCCAGCTGGTGGGAACCCTAGTCACCCTCTCCGCAAAGGAAAACAGCGAGATCGGTGAGAATTTACGACGTAGTTGATGAATTTCATGGCGAATATATATGTATATGTATACATAATATAGATATGTATATAGTGTGTGTGTGTGTTGTGTAACGCGCTGATAGTGCCACTGGCATACACCAAAAATCAGCGTGGTCTCGGAGTTTATCTGTAGCTATGATCGAATCGACATTATGTAGAATCATAGCAATAGTAATAATAATAATAATAATTTATAAAATAAATAAATAATAATAATAATTAATAATAATAATATAACGACAACAACAACAACAACAACAATGTAATAAACAATCTCTATTGTTGTTTCTTCCCATGCCAGGACTATGGCTGAGACGATCAGCTTCACGGGACAATCAAGGTCAGATGCAGGGCAAGGTCCGCAGGGTCGTCTCAGTGGACCAGAGAGGACGTCCTGCGACAGGTCATTGCTTTCTCTCCCCGGGCCGACGGAGGCGCCAGCTCAACATCACGGTGGCGTCGCCGTCGACCCGGGAGACGATAGGCGAGTACAAGATATTCTGGCGCCTACAAGGACGTGCGAGACGACTACGGATGGGTACGACAGGGGTAGAGAGATTAACTTTCGAACAGGGGAGTCCGTCAACGGACTCCCTGCCCTCAAAAGGAAGGAGTCCGCAGCAAAATGAGGGAGTCTGCAGTTTTAAGTTCAAAATTAAAGATCGTTAACAATAATGCATATGTGCTTATTTGGAGATTCATGCGGTTGCACGTCTGCGAAATTTTCTTTGGACATTTGCTGAAAAAAACACCTCACATCACAACCTCAACTACAACCACAAACCACAACTTATAGAAATTAAATTAAATTGTATTATATAAATATTCTAAGCTCAACCCGCCTGCGTTCTGATTTTAGATTGAGCCCACGAACATTTTGTTCACGGTGGAGGACGTCAACGACAACCCGCCGGAATGGCAAGACCTTTCGCCGACAACAAGGTCGAAGGTGAAGCGAGGTGAGCCAAATAAAAATTAAACGACATGTCGCCGATAGCATCTGACAAGACATTTGATTTATGTCGACGGCCACGTACGCCGCCGTTCGAAATCCGCCAGTGTTTGTTGCCAAAATAATATAATTTATTATAATAAAATATTAAAATTATTATAAATAATATAATAGTATTATAATAAAATAAGCCAGACGGACTTTACCTGCGTCCCTCTGGGTCTCGTGTCCTTTGACGGCCTTCGGCATCGTTCGGTTGCTCGGCCATTTTGTTTTCCGTGTCTACCCTTTTGTTTCTCGCATCCGCCATATACTATCCTGCGGTTATGATTCAGTTTCCCACGCCCGTCTCTCTCCTACGACGCGTGTGGTGGTCACTTGTTTCAGACTCTTGCTTGCCACTTGTTTTCAGACGATCGCGCCCGACACTCTGGTTTTCGATGCGTATGCCACCGATCCTGACTTAGGCCTTGGAGGCCAAGTCGTCTACTCTCTCGCCGATAAAGTTAGTCCCATCGATACTATTATAATGTATACATAACAGGGGTAGAAATTAACTTTTGAACACGGGAGTCCAATGGATCCCTACCCTCAAAAAGAGGAAGTCCGTAGCAAAATGAAGGAGTCTGCAGTCAGAGGTTCAAAATTAAAGATATTAACAATAACGCATGTGCTTATTTTTAAGATTCATGCGGTTGCACGTTTGCCAAATTTTCTTTGGACATTAGCTGAAAAAATACGGTAATTCTACGTGCTGCGGACCGAACTAGTAGTTAATATGGCAGAATTTTCAGGGAGTCGCACGGACTCCTGCATATGTCAAATCAGGGAGTCGGACAGTAAATCAGGGAGTATTTGACTCCGGACTCCCGTTAATTTCGCACCCTGAGTAATGTCTTTATGTCTATATAATATGTCGGTATAACATGTCCATATATCTGTATAATATATCTAGTAATATATCCATGTAATATGTCATTATGTCTATATAATATATCTGTATAATACGTCGGTATAATGTCTTTATGTCTATATAATATATATAATAACCTAATATGTCATTATGTTTATATAATATGTCGACATATATCTATGTGATTGCATCTGTATATATAGTAACTCTTCACTGTCTCTTGTTACTTGTAAAGACGTTAGCGGAAGGATATTTCGAGGGGAGGACGACGAGACCAGACAACGTGGTATATCCTAACGGAATCTTTGAGGTCTACGTCGTGAAGCCACTCGACTATCAGGAGAAAGCCATCCACGAAGTGCTGATCGTTGCTACGGTAAGTGCCATAGTCATGTTATGTCACGATAGATGGCAGCACTTGCTGACAGCGAGGCACGCATGTTCTGCTGAATAGACGTACTTGCCACATACTCTACGAGTTCTGTATCTAATTGCGTATGTCCGTAGTACGAAACTGCGACAGTAAGTGCACGCTATAAAAAAAATCAAAAGATATTGCTTAACGCGCGATGTGACATTATTTGTGACGTCACAATCGTTTTACGCAGCTGTCGCGTGACGCATGACATCGCAGTTGTTTGCACGCGGCCACCGCGTCGCACGTAGCATCGACCCTTGTACACAGGTGTGACAGGTTTATTAGCTTCGCGCGAGCGACCCTTATACACAGGTGTGACAGGTTTATTAGCTTCGCGCGAGCGACCCTTATACACAGGTGTGACAGGTTTATTAGCTTCACGCGTGCGACCCTTATACACAGGTGTGACAGGTTTATTAGCTTCACGCGTGCGACCCTTATACACAGGAGTATTAGCTTCACACGCGCGCGACCCTTATACACAGGTTTATTAGCTTCACGCGCGTGCGCTGTTGGTTTCAGGACGGAGGCGGAGATCCGGGCTACGAACCGATACTGAGCACGACCGTTCCCATCTACGTGAACGTGCTCGACGTTCCGAACAAACCACCGCTGTTCATCAAGGTTCCCTACAACGTCTACATGGAGGAACACCTGGACGTGGTCAGTGTGTGTGTGTGTGTGTGTGTGTGTGTGTGTGTGTGTGTGTGTGTGTGTGTGTGTGTGTGTGTGTGTGTGTGTGTGTGT